AGACGTGTGCTCTTCCGATCGAGTTGCAGGGAGACTACGTCGAGAAATAAATTTTGTTTTGCTTTGAAATATGTGTTTTTCTTAAAAAGGCCGGAAACTTTTTAAATGACCCTCGTAACATATGTTATATTAAAATTAATTACATAATTGTGCTAAAATAAATGTGTATATGTAAAAATACATACATTTTTTGCAATCTATTTTATGATTACTTTAATATGTATCTTGTACCTGATCGATGGGGAGATCATAGGAGTCCCTCGGCTAACTGGCAATGTTACTGGCGGATATAAATTAGCAATTTTCGGCTGTAAGCCACAATTGTAAAGTTTTCCGATTCCTTGAAAAATTACATCGTCGTCGTTTAATTTAATGCATGGAGTCAATGAAATATTTGTAACTTCTGGACTCAAGGATTCTTCCAAAACTTGCTGCAGAACACCATATGGTGCGATTTCGATGGTCACAGCGTTACTTGGAATAAGATGTCTTGCTTGTTCAAAGAAAACAGTGTTTAGTATACTACGCGTATGATAGTCCGCTGATGATAATTTTGATGCTAAAGTGTGCCATTCGGCACGAGGTATGGAAGTGCTGATCCACTTCAGACTTCGTTTTTTCGGACGTAGTATTATTTTGTTCAAATTAGACAAAAGCTGAGATTCAACGGATGCGAGGTAAGAACTGTGATATGGCACGTTACAGTGGATCTTTTTTACATAAATATTATTAACCTGATAATTCAAAAATACAGATTTAACACATACAGGTGTAAAAAAATTGTAGCTTGAATTTAAGGATTTGATATTTTTTAAATTATTATTCAAAGATTTTCACTCACTTAAAGTACGCAAGAGTTATTCAATTTTACCTGTAATTTTTTTATAAATTTTTGAACGGATTCTGCAGGTCCACTCACAATGCTGTTGTTGTCGCTATTATGACATACTATTTCAATATCCGTTGAACAAATATTTTTAAGACTCTCGTAATCCAAACTTACAACTGCCATAGAGCTATGAATTATATTTTTTTCGGTACAAGCTAAACCAATGAAATATGCTGATAAAATAGTTTGTTTAATAGTGAGACATTTATCTGCGTACGCGCAGCCCAGTTCACCAGCAGAATGACCAATCATGTAATCCGGAATAATTTCTAAGGATGTTAGGAGATCTACTAAACCGACCTACAAATATAAAAAAATAACCATAGACACTATATTTGAAAAATTTATTGCTGATAAAATATTAAAATATGTTCAAATAAATCTATATTCTGTTTAGCGAGGGACTATGTATTGGTCTGCACATATGGACAGCGCAGTGGGAAGAGCGTAGCCGCTACCCAGTTCCTTATATGTAAATGCAGCACGTTCAAGTTCGTATCAGTGAGATATCTACATACTAGAGTGAGCCTTCCTTTAAGAAAACGTGTGGTGGATGTAGCTGACTGTGCGAGAGTAACAGCCATGCAACTTGGGGACGTTTGCCTTACTTCAATTATATCATTAAAGTGAGGTAGACGTTCCCAAGTTGCATGGCTGTTATTCTCGCACGACTCTTGAATAATTCGACCATCCCTAGCATCCCAAGGCTCACTCCAATATGTATATATTTCACTGTTTCGTACGATTCGTGCAAGCAGAAGAGAAAGCCGAGTTCTCCAATATTATTCTGTAGGTGGAACCTGCGTAAAGTGGACAAGTTTTCATCCAACCCGATACACAAGCCTCTCACTGAATAGAGTATAGTAAGATGCCGGTTCCAATAAGCGCAATGGAATAACGGCATAGAAAATGTATATTTTATCATATATGTTTTACTAATTAATATAAGATAATTAATATTTTAATCTATAGCTTTGACATATTTTACCTGAACAGCGACAATTCCGAGAAACGTGTATAACGCGTTTTTGAACACTTTTTTATCTTTCCTTGTCAAAATGTCTGTGACACTTACACCATATGGTTTTAAAACAGTATCACACATTCTTATCGCATTTGCGAAGATTTGAAATTTTAATAATTTTTGACCTGATTTTAATTAAAAGAGATATCAATTTATTGTTTAAAGCTACTGTAAAGTAAGTATACCAATAATATTAATCATATACCCATTCCTGACCATTGCGATCCTAAAGCTGAAAATATAAAGCAAACAGGTCTTTTTACATTGTTACAATTTTGAATTTCTTTCATTGAATATTGTTGCAAAGTATTCAGAATAATGTACCCTCTCCATGGATGACCATCTATATTATCTGCATGGACATCGTTTAATAAACGGATATATTCTACATCTATGTGATAATTAGCAATCTATAATAATAAATTTTTTTAAATAAGAAATATAACATAATATCTTTAATTGTCCAAAATAACCTCAAGTGAATTTTAAAATATGTCTACTAACGTCATTTAAAAACAATTCCACTGATTCTTTAGTACGTCCAGATAATATTACAAGTCTTGGCAAATCATCATCTGGTGCGCTATTATTAACTTTCTGTTTCTGATTCCACTTTAATAGCATATGAGCATTAGCTCCTCCAAAGCCAAAAGCATTGATACCGACGTAACCATTTTTAATTGGCATTGCTTCTTCGATGACACGAACAGTTCCGTTCATCAAGGCATCTATATCATTCCGTGGCGATGTATAATTTATATTTGGTGGTACAAAACCGGTTTCAAATGCTACTATTACCTTCAACAATCAATAACAATTTTAATTATCGGAAATTATCTTGTAAAGAATTTGTTGGATATTGACTATAGTACATGAGATATTAATTATTGTATATTATAAAATACTTTTGGATAATATGGTCAGTCTTCTAATGCAGCCACAACACATGGGTATCTCAAAAACTATAAAATATAATTCTGACAAAAATGATACTAAATACATGTCAAACAAAATAAAAAATTTCACCCAATCTTTGACTGTATCAATCAGTATTATATAGAGTTGTAATCAATTGTCTATAAAGAATGATAAAAAATGTTTGGTGTTGTCATGTTGTTATATATTTATTTTCATAACTTTCAGTGATGTTAATCTGAAGTAAGGATGATATAAATACAAAATTACCTTTTTAAAAAAAGAGGTAAAAAAAACGCCAAGTATACGCGTCCTCCGTACAAATGTTTCGCTATCAAAAATTAGCGTCAAAAATTTGAAGTTATTAGTAAAATAAAATAACTTTAAAAAAATTAAGTGATATATATATATTACTTGTAGAAAAAATACATATTATAAAATAATTTAAAAAAAAAAGGCGTTAAATATGTGCTACTCGAACAAAAAAATTATTGTACTAAATTTTAAAAAAGTGATATGTACTAGTAATATGTACTAGTGATATCAATCAATAAAA